CTTCTCTTTTCTAGTTGTTGACAGAATAGGTGGAGCACATGTGACTTGCCTCCTGCTTAGTTCCAAGATTCTGTTTGCTTCCTTTGCTGAGAAACTTGAAAATGAATTCCCTTGTCAAGCACATGTTTACAGTATTATTCTGTTCTGTTTCTTTCTCAGACCATGTAATCTCTCTCAATATTTTAGTTAATTCTAGCCACCAGGGCTGGCCCACCTGTGAGGGAAGGTGAGGTAACCTCCTCAGGTAGCAGATTCCGTTGTAGAACTTCATTCACCCTTTATTCCCTGGCAGGGAAGGGGACGCCATTTTGAGGTTCATCTCAGGTGCCCAAATGTCTTGGGCTGACCCTGCTGTTTGTTCTGAGGAACGAACTGAAGAATTATCAGATCAGGAGCTGCAAATTTGCAGACACATTTTCCTATATTGCACCTGCTTTGTGGTTGTACCTCAGTGTAGTTGGGACAATGTGCTGGGAATCAGTATGTGAATGGTCCTGCTTTGCAGCAGGGGCTTGGTCTTTCTGACCTCTTGGTCTCTTTTACCCCCAACACATAACAAGGGGTGTAGCATGGGGGGGGGCACTTCTGGAGCGATTGCCCTGCGTGTATTTTTTTTTGGGGGGGGGGGAGGAGGCATGCTGGTCATGCTGCCCTCTTCAAGTCAGCTCTGCACCGCTTTCCAAGGTCTGAGGGACTGGGATTGATGCATGGCTGTTGTGTCCTCACGCCACTTACCCCAGATTCCAGTCTTGCAAAGTGAGTTCACAGTCAGAAATGTATCTGGCTAGTACTCAGCAGTTATCTCTCATCAGTCTACCTCTGATGAGAGAAAATCAATCTGCCATGAGGCTTGCTCTCCCGGAAGTTTAATTTAATTGGCTTTCTCCTCCCTCCCCCCTCCCGAACATAGCTGTGCCACACTGGGATTTATCTAGGCAAAGGGTGTTTTCATATTGCACATGAACCCTCGGTCCACCCTTTCTCTGTTGGAGCCAAGCAGTGATGATTTATATATGGCATGGAATGAATACCTAAGGCAATTTTCTCTTTTTCTTGTGTTTACACCTTCTGGAAACAAAGCTCATGGGTGTGTGGAGTGTGATTTATGATCAAGAGAAAAAGGCCAATGTCACGAGTTGCCACTTCTGTGTATGCCAAACAGCTGCCTACTAGGAAGCAGGGTAGTACAGAGGACTTGCTTACATCTGGGTTTTCAACAAAAAACATCAGTTTTAGGATTGATTTCGTTAGCTGCTTTTTTTCATATAATTTGGTGATGTTTGAAATCACAACCTGGTGAGCTCAAGTCCAAGTCTGAACAATAGATCTCTCCTCCATGAATTTATCTAATCCCATATTAAAGCCATCTAAGCTAATGATCCAACACATCTTGCTGCCTTTGCAGACTACCTCAGTGTAACAGGTTTACATTGGCTGTGCATTGTTATTTTTACTGATTTTTATTTTAGTATTCTTGCTTGCTGAATACTGACAAGGAATAATTTTTTTTAAAGAATGGTAAAGAATGCTACCTGCAGCAAGAGGAGCTTGTGCAACTTGAAGCAACCTGATTGACGCAAGGATTGTGATTCAGTACTTCTCCAGTGCTGTGCCAAATAGGAACTATGTGGTTGACTTGAATGACATTAAGTTTATAAGGACTTCTACACATACTGGAGGCAAGACCATTAAAAGGGGAAAGTGAAGCGCCTGTAGGCTACAAATATGCTGTGTAACTGCATTCCAACCACTCCCCATTAGGCTAGAGGTATAAGCCAAGTAGGAGGGCAGCTGCATGTGTCACAAGTGCACAGCACCAGAGGAACATGGATCCGGTGTTACAGGCTTTGCCACCATTGAGAATAGCTCTAAGTCAAATCACATTTTGGGGAACTTTAAGCTTAGCAATTTAGCACCACTAGTGGGCAGATAACTGCATACACTCAGCTCAGATGTGCTTAATACTATGGCCCTTTTAGTTTGCAGCACACCTAAAAGCAAGGAAGCCACACTTTTCTCTTCTGCTCACCTTGTGTATGACTTAATTAACATAAAAGACATTACCCCCATTTGGGCATTCTTGCTCCTGTGTTTGTCAATATGAGAGTGATGTGCTGAGGAGCTCTGCGACCCTCCCTCCAATAACCTTTGCAATAAGAACCTAACAGTTTGTAATGACAGAGTCTTTGCACATGGTAATGGGGGTTTCAAGTAACAAAGAAGCCTTAACATCAATTTCTATCTATACCTATGAAATTTTATTAAAATTAAAAGACTGAAGACACCTTGAGTTTGATAAAGAAATTTAATGGAGTTTGTGGTACGCATGATGATAATTCTTACATGAAGAACTGATTCTTTTCGGCATTAATCAACCAAACCAAGCAGTGCAATAGAATATCAATGTAATAGTTTCCAAAAAAGCAAAGCTTACTTTGGTAAAATACTCCATTTTCTACCAAAGAACCAGGCTGTCATTCCAAGTTGGCCAATAATATTTCCAGTGAAACAGTATGTGTGTAGTATCTCCCCCATGAGAAGGCCCTGCCAGTTATGCCAGCTGAACTCTAGCAGACCAGCGAGAACTGATAGAGAGGCCCCCAGACTGCTACAACCATGATGTACGGAAGGCATAACTTATTCTGGCTGCAATAAAGACTGTCTTAAAAGGGACTATAATTTAGTAGCAGTGCATCTGCTTTGCATGCAGAAGGTTCCAGGTTCAATCACCAAAATTTCTAGTTAAAGGATCAGATGAGAAAGACCTCTGCCTGAGACCTTAAAGAGATGTTGCAAGTCAGAGTCAACAGTACTGGGGTAGATCTATAAACAGCATTATCTGGAGAGCTAGTCATACATATATTCTGGCGTATAGTATTGGGGATTACCAAACTATGTGCCAACAGGGCACACTACTATACTGCAAAATAACACACAGCTCACACTATCGCTACCAACAAAGCATCACAATTGCTCAAAAAGCACTTGGTTAAAAGGAGAGCAAGATGCTAAGATGCATTATTAACTCAATTTGCAGGAGGTATACCTCCCAATTTTCCACAGAACTGATTAAGAATATTTATGTTTCTGAATGTTAAATGGTGTGCGCTTCTCCTGTTAATCCAGGAGAAAAGACCAATGTTGTGCCCTAGGCACCAAAAGTATTGACTACACTGACATCTGCAGAAAATCAGGACTGCTATAAAAGAATGGCAGCTTTCATAACGAAAGGCACCAGCATTTCAGACTTCAACATACTCCAGTACAGACCAGCGTTTGACTTCAACAAGTACCTGTTCAGCCAGTAAATCACTGTTTAGCTTTGGAAAAGTCACTATCTGCAAAATGGAAATGTGAATGACAGAAATAAGTGGCAGAGTAATGTAAGCATTGTATCGCAGTGGTTAATACAGGCCAGAAGAAAAAGAAGCAAGCAGCTTTCATCATAATGCATTATCACTTTTTATTACTGAAGAAAATAATAATCACATTAGAGTTTAATTCATCCGCACATAGCATCTTTCTTAAGGCTCAGAAGTGGAAAACTTTCAATTGTAACAGATTCAGCTTCCTCAACCTTGGCCCTCCAGATGTTTTGAGACTACAATTCCCAACATCCCTGACCACTGGTCCTGCTAGCTAGGGATCATGGGAGTTGTAGGCCAAAAACATCTGGAGGGCAGAGGTTGAGGAAGCCTGGTGTAGCATACACTTGCAACAGAACAGCATTCTGAGGTGGCAACAGGAATTATACTATTTCAGAATACTTGGAGGAGGTGTCATTTTTAAATGTTACCCCAGATAATTTTTAAAGGAAATCTCTGCTAAGTTTTCTACCTGCAGGAAGAAGCTTGTTTGTTAGTTTTTGTTTTTAAATGCAAAGAAGCATTAAAAACATTGAATGCTACTTGCTGTACATGCAGTCTGGTGATACGGTCCATTCTCCCACTTTAGAAATCTACCACCTCATTCTTAGAAACTGCTTGAACACATGTAACCCACCAGAAGTAACAGCAAAGGAAGGTCCTAGGCTTGTAGTATTCACTGTATATTGTGTTCCTAGAGAACTAAGTGTACATTTCACATAGCTGTTGAAATGATAAATATTGCAGTTCTAATTGAAACATCTATAATTTGTATATCTAATTTATACAGGATCAAATTTATGCATGGATCAGATTGCAGTTTCAAAAGAAGAGGCTATTTAGGTATTGTACAGATTTTACTCTAATGTAATTTTCTTATATTTTGGAACAGTGATTAGTAATTAGTTGGTAGTATTAAATATTAAAGTTCTCCATATATTGTTTTTCTTAAATCCAATAAAGATTTTATATGTTTTAAAGTGCTTAAATCCAAAAGCTGTAGGAAGCATGTAATACATTTTATAAACAATACAGCTAAAATAATGTTGTCTAAAGCAAGCATCCAAGCTTTTGCTACAAATAAAACTACAGGATTGTAAATATTGCAATAGACCTGGGACAGATAGTGCAGCAGTTGCTTAACAGTACATCCACACACACCCCTTTTCCCAAGTGATAATTCAGAGACAGAAACACAAATTACCTCACTTGCTCTCCCCTGCATATCAGTGCACAGCCCAGTTTGAAACACACTGACCAAAATGCCCTTGAGAAAGAATTTTTATATGTAAACAGCACCTTTGAAGCAAGAATCTCTTGATTTGCATTCGATTTTGGGACCTGAAGCCTAAGGTTTCATTGTAAATACTAAAAAATTAATTGGCATTCCATAAAGGCATAGTAGAAATTAAGGCAATCAGTGATTTTGGTATATATCAATGCAAAATGATTTCTCTTTCTAGACACAGAAGAGACCATCCAGCAATACATTGTAAGTAATATATAACTATATATGTAAACTTTGTAGCAGCTAAATTTCAAATACATTCTAAACTGAGAGAAGCAACCACTCACAAAACAATTCTTTTTAGTGAGCTGCATGAATACCTGGCCAATTTCCCCCTTTTAGGGTTGTTTTTTTTTTTTGTAATTTTAGTACAAATATCTGGTGTTTTCATAATTTGTTATGAATGAACCTTCACAACTGATTCAAAATGCAGTGAAGGGTTGAGCAGATTAAATAATAATAAGGGAATGGGATATAAATCAGCAAGGGACAGAAGCAAGCATTAGCAGCCATTTTGTGATATAAGAAGTTTCACCACCTTCTGAAAACCATGTCCCAAGCTCCATTCAGGTTCTGCAACTTCAGCAGAAAAATTAAAATTAAAAAAGCTTTCTTTTAAATCAAGGGCTAGGATCTTGACTTTTAAAAAACAAACAAACCCAAGATTCTTCACTAGGATTGTGTGCTGCACAGCATGGGCAGGTAGACAGAATGCAAATGGATTTGGCCATAAGGTATTCGTCAATTTTCTAATAAGAACTGCCAAGAGCACTAGTATTCCTATATACTGTCTGCAAATATATCATATTCCCAATATATGTTGGAAGTACAGAAATATTGTTTTGAATGCAGAGTAATACATAGGGGAAAGGACTATTCACTGGAAAGCTCTATATGCAGTATTCTTTTCCTTGTAAATGAAAGGTATTGTGCTTTATGGCTGTTTTTCTGAAGGCATCTTCATGGGATTCAGGCCAAGCATCTTGAAGTAGGATACCAGTTGCTTAGGAACTTCAGCTAACACTGACTGGCTAAGTGCCTCACGAGGAGCCTGTAACGAAGAAAGAGCAAGACAACATGACGACAAGAACAAGAAAAGGAATGGTTTTCATAGCTGGCTTTGGACATTGTTATTATTAATTTTTTAAAAATTGTGCAAACAATGCTATGAGAAATTCTGGGTCAAACTACGGATTATGGTTTACTAAACCATGGTTTAGCATTACGTGTGAACTGTGTACAGCAGCCTCATTATGATTTGTTTACTGCCAACAAAACACAATCTGAAGTTATAGTTTGTGGTTGGATTATGAAATTTGGCTTGTTTTGCCTACATTGTAGCATTATGTGTGAACCAAAGAGTTTTCAAGAAGTAAATAATATTGCCTGCTGACAAAGTATAACTATCTGGAAGAGTTAGGTATTCTTCAACTTACATTCTGGAACCTCCTGAAGGGCACAAACTGGACAATATCTCGTGCAGCTGGTTCCCCTGACAAGGACTTTAGAACACCATCGTCTCCATCAAGGAATTCCATGGCATTGAACTCAGCGCTCCCAACTCCAATGATAATGATAGACATGGGCAGCTTGGAGGCATTGACAATGGCTTGCCTGGTTTGGTCCAGATCGGTGATCTCCCCATCTGTGATTATCAGCAAGACAAAGTATTGCTGCAAGAAAATTAGATTAGTCAATAGAGGTTGACTTCAAATCTTAGGCAAGAGTTAAGGAAGGGACTGAAGGGCTGATGTTTTTATACTTCTGTGTTTGCTCAAATATAAAGAACGATCTGCACACTGTGTCTCACAACTTCGTAAAGCATGAAAGAGTAAAAAAAACAAAACTGGATTGAAAACAATAAAATACAGTACAGTAACTTTAAAAACCCAGTTCAATTCTCAAACCTGCTATTTCACGTTAGCTTTATTTGAAATCATTTTGGATAACCTAGGCTTTAGTACTTCAAAGGTTCACGCACACTTCCATTTGTCCCGTGATTTCAAGTTGTGGGTCCAATAGGTTTTAGGTTTGTCCCACTGCTTTCTCATGGAAAACCTGTTGTTTACTGCTGAATCAGAACAAACATCAATCAGGTTTTCTGTGGATTGACTTTGTTCTGATTCAGCAGTAAAGAGGTTTTCCTTGGGAAAGCAGTGAGAGAAATGTAAAGCGTTTTGGACCTATGACTTGAAATCACCAGACAAATGGAATTTTAGTATGTCCTAACTCTACCACATGGGAATGAATTGCAGAGAAAACACAGAATTCAGAGGGTAGAGCCTGATTACAAATCCATTCAGTATCTGAAGTTTCATGGCAGACTATGGTTTCACAACAGTGAAGTAATGAAAGAATACTAGCACACCTTTAAATAAATGCATCGTGACATTTTTTCCCAATCCATCACTTAAAAACAAAAACATCCAAAATATTAAATCAAACAGACTCACAGAAGCAGTATTTTGCTGTGCTGCCTGAGCAGCAAACCTGGCAACATGATTTATAATTGGAGAGAAATTTGTTGGACCATAGAGACGAATCTGAGGCAATGCCTGGCGATATGCATCCACAATTCCCTGGATTCCTGAAAAATGGAAACACTAATTGTTATTGCAATAGTTTGTGTGTATGTATGCTGCTTATTTCCCACTGTTCTCCATAAATCCTCCCACGGTTATTCAACTTTTATCCTTTCTGTCACAAAATGGAAATGGCAATCTAATGTGTGCACAATAACTGAAGTTGAGCAGACACGCCTTCCCCCATTTCACCACATTTGTAGGGTGTGTGAATCAGTTATTTTCAGAGGATGGCAAAACATGTACTGCCTGCAGCACATAGCATAATTCTTGGAGCCTTGCAGAGGTGGTCACTGGCTGCCAAGAGGACTGTGGCTACAGAACAGGTGAAGTGGCAAAGAAGATATACCAACAGTCATGCACTTTATCCTGACAAAAACTCTAGAAACCCTGCTGGTCCTGTTCTTTATTTTTAATGGAACATACTCTCTGATGCACACTTTGTCAAATTTGATTACTGGCTCATGAAGATTACTAAATGCTTACCTTGGCAATAGGGATTTGTAGGGTTAAAGTTCAATGCAAATTCATGGGATACCTGGGAAAGAGACACACTTAGTCATGTAGCCAAATACCAATGCATTTGAATTAAGAAACACTTGAACTAAGAAACTCACCTTCCAGTCTGGAGGAACTTGAGCTCCAAACCCAAAGGCAGGGAACAGTTTGTCACTGAAAGATGTAGGGGGTAGAGGAGGAGGAAAGATAGATATGTTACCTTCAACTGAACAAAAACAATTCATAGTTACCACTGCTGCAAGCTGGCAGAAACTGCATGCTACCTCAGAAACCAAAACTGCTAAAAGCGAAGCAAGCAGTAAGCGTGCAGGGGAGCGAGGCTTCCAGGAGCCAATGTTGTAATCGAGTTGACTCCTCCTTCAGTTTAAAATGTCAGGAAAAAATGCACACTCATTCCATGAGCAGTGATAATTTTCATTTATACATGACTGTCTACAGCTTCTGCTCTCAAGTACCGAGACTCAGTAGTGTCATTTTATGAGCAAGCAGAAAAGAAAAACAATCACTTACTCTCATAAATGAACCAACAAAACAAAGAACAATCTACTGCAACTCTCACTGAATTACCATTCTCAGCAATAACCTGAGATGCAGATGCATAATCCATAAAGGTTAAAGGGACTGAAGTTACTCAGTCAAATACATCACTTTTAACTCTATTAAATTTCACTTATTTCTAACGCTTGCAGCTAGAGCAGCTAAGAATAGTTTTAACATACGTGTCATAATCCTGTACCACGTTCCCCACACACCAGATGGCCGTCAGGTATTCATTGATCCCATTTGGACTGATATAGTGAAGAGAATCTGGTGACTTTGGATCTCCATTGGAGCCGGTGAAATCTATGCCCACCTGACACAATAACGAAGAACACAAAGATAATATTTCTTTCTGGAAACAGGCAACCAAAGCAAACCCAACATTCATGGAAGTTGACTTCAAGCATACCTAACACCAGTGAAGAATGCTGCTGAAATAACCACTAAAAAACCCAAGGCAGCTGAAGAAAGGCCAAACATTAGGTTCCCCAGAATGCAACCAGGGAGACTATGTATTAGAAAGATCAGTGAATTCATTTTGTTTAGTCTGGCAGATATACAAGCAGCAAACTTATTCACTGACAGATCTAGTAAACAGGTTTTTGTCCAGTTTAAGTGCAATGGCTTTTTCACAGGAATATATAAATGCTTGAGTTATGTTTTAACTTAGGCATGTAAACAGGTGACCCAACTCACAATGAAATTAATTTGGCAGCCTCCCATGATGTAATCCAGGAAAGAATATTCCATTTCAATCTGAAAAAAACAGCACACAACTGTTACAACTTCTACCCTACAATCACAGAATAGCAAACTCTTCTGTATGAAATGCTCCTTACTTTGCAAGACTTCACTCGAACAATGCCAGAGTTTTTATAGCTCTTCTTCTTTCTCTTCTTCTCAGGGTGAATACACTCAAATTCCACCTACAAAGAAAGCAACACACATCAAAGGAACTTGTTCTAGTTAATGAAATGAACCACATAGTTCACATTTTAAGATACACAGGACAAGACCCAACTTAGAAAAAATAATGGTAGCCATGCATACTGGCAAGTGATCACAGCTTGACCGCCAGGTCAGCCCGGCACCAAATGAACCATGCAGATCCGTTGGGAGCTTGCTTTTGACCTCTACGGGAACCCTCAATGTCCTGGTCGTCCCCGGACCTTCTCTGGGGCACTCGTTGCCTGCAAGCTGCCTAAAAACTCCAAAAAGCAGCAACCAGTTCGCTGCGATAGCAAGCCTGGCTTCCTTTCCCCCTCGCGGTAAACCAGGAAGTAGAAATTAGATATCTTGGGATGACTTAAAATACAACATCTATTGCTTCCTAGGAACTGTAAAGGGTGCTGGGAATTGTAGCTGTGTGAGAATAAATTTATTGTTTCTATGATTCTTCTTTGCAATGAGAAATAGGTTCAATTAGTTAATAAAAGAAGGTAAAAGTAAAAGCTCACCGGAGAGCTGCCACCTGCCTTCTGTAGCTGGGAGAGGTTAGTTTCAAAAAATGCCTATCA